AATGCAGAAAAATCCATTGAAAACATTGCAGATTCTCGATCTTTTGAAGTAACTTTGTAGATGGCCATGCTTTTTTTTGTTCAGGAGCGTTTTAGAGTGCTGCACCATCCAAACCTTGAAAACTCAGCATTTCAAGTTTCCCAAAAATATAATGCATGACCGCTGATCGCATTTTCATAAGCTAAGGGTATCTTTAAAGGGTATATCTAAGGGTATACTTCATAGGATTCGGCCGATTGAGGATGTGCGATGGTTGCGCGGCGCTCCACTTGTAGAGTGCCAATTTGACGTAATTTGGCTCTGTTCCGAACCCCAGGCAAAATAGTACTGGACTGTGACGCCGCAACGCAACCACCACGCCTTTCGATCGGCTGAGTTTTATTGCGGCTCTACTTTACAGATGAAGAATGGAAATACCTTAAGTAAGCCCTAATACGCAGATATGCTTGCTGACTGTTTATTAAAAAATCCTTATATATTATTTTATATGCAGTGCTGCAGCTTAAGTAAATTGCGATTGCAATCAGTTTCTAAGCCTCATCTTCTCTAACTCTACAATAAAAATTTACACTTCGATGGCATTACCGCTGTGATGTCCGGTGCAAAATTTGAAAGTTAAGTTTGGCCATCACAAACCTGTTGCATGATACAACTGAGCTTCAAAGTATCTCACTGAATTGGGCTTGAAAGATTATTTTTGAAATTCCACCTCTTCCATAGTTTTTTGAATGAAGTTGGTGCCAAATATAGATTTTTGAGTTATGCTGTGTTGCTTTCCAAAATTTCGGTGTTTATGAGCTTCATTTATTTATAGTCGAGCTGGGCTGAAGCAAATTCAACAGGATCTTCGCTTATACCTAAAGAGTGTGCAGCACTCAATGATAGAATTAATCAATGACGATTACGCGGATTTTGTGCATCTGTCATCTAATCTCGTCAGTCTACAAAATGCTATAGACAAGATTGAGAGCGACATGAACGTGAGTGCATCAAATTCGGTGTCAGTAATCTTTGCTCAATGTTGAGTTTTTAGACAATATGGGCTGAATTCGAAAGCAGCACCAACGATGCTGTCAAAACAGCCGAACGTGTTGAATCATTCTGCGTGGAGCTCTCTCACAACAGATTGTCTCAGGTATGGATGTTTTTCAGAATTTCTACAATCCTTTTGATGTTCATAACATTTTTTCTCTAGTCTCATCTGATCTTTTCTAAGATATAGTAATTGACTTTGTTGGCATTTTAGGTTGAGCTTCGCCATCGCATCTCTTTTTTATCTGCATTACAACGTCTTTCTGATTTGATGAAAAGTATTCCGCAAACTCTAAGTTTTCTTTGGTAAGTTTCTTTGAATAAAAGTTTTGATTTTGACAAGTTCGATTTCATTTTTTGGTTTGCCGATATGAATTATGTACCAAGAGGTTGGACTAAATTTAGGTTAGAGAAGGTGTCTTCATGTCTAGTAGATGCAAGTTCATACAAAGAAGATTTAGCGAAAGATAGTCGTGAATATAAAATGTTCACCAAGGTATTATCATTTCCACTACTACTTATCTATTAGTATTTCGTTCCGATGAGCGCATCACTAGCACATCTCCATATTTCCTTTATTTCAGTTACTTGAGAGGCTGGAAACCGTCCTCTGTGATGAGGGAGTACGTAGTGCTAGCGGAGACTGTGCTTCTCTTCCTCATGTACTATCTCTTCTCACATTGGCAGACTGCACAGAATCACTGACTGCTCGCCTAGTCTCTGACTTGATTTATCCAAGACTAGTCCGTCCATCGAAGGACCACTTTGAAATGCTGAAGGCTGTTTTTGCTGGTGTGAAAGAGGTAAGTGATTTGTTAAAGCACGTCAACACGGGAAATTCGCAGTCACCTCTTTTAGATGCGAACTAAATGGAGTGATCTGCTTGGGTCGAAGTACAGCGGTTCCATACAGGCATTTCTTGAACAGACTTTGCTCACATTTTTGTTGACGTTCATTGACAAGGTTCTTTTTTTCCTTCCGAGTGCAGTTGTGTTTGGTATTCATGTAGGCTTTGTCAAAACTTTTGAAGACCAAATAAGCTCTACTTTGAGGTTTTAAGATTGTTAATAAGTTTTGTTCAGTGCATGGGGACTGTTGCCGTTCCGAGCAATACCTCTCTTTTTCACCGCTGCTTTACAGCCATGCAGGACTTCATTGATAATTGGCCATCACACGCACATTCTAGGTTCTTTTTTTATTTTTTCCAATTCATTCCCCATTGAACCCTCAAAGAACTTTGTTATAAAATCTATTTTTTAGAACTATGTTAAAAGCTGTTCGAGATAAATTCAACTTAGTTGTTTACTTCAAACTAGTTACTCATAAGCTTGTTCGCCAAGTGGACAGTGAAATGACTCCAGAATCTTTGAAATTCCTTGACGAGGAGCTGGTAAGTGTAAAGGTGACGCAGATTTTTGGCTATACTTATTGAGTTTTTTTTTAGCAACGTAAAGATGGTCTTCTCTGCGCAGTTTCCTCATCAATACTCAAAACAGTTGAAACAGTCTGGTCTGAAGATGTTTTTCTTTATCCTATTGCAGACAAATTGTGGGACCTCACACTGCGCTTACTAGGGAAGCATTTAGCTTGGGCTAGAGCCCTTTTGGAGTAGGCCTCTTTATTAGTTATATTGTCTGTTTAGAACGAAAAGAAATTTTGGTTTGCTATAACTCAGAGCTGCTAAACGCAAGGAAACTTCTGGTTGGGGAGGAGTCGAGCCATGGCGCGCTCTCTTAGCTGCTCGATGTGATCTACAGAACTTGCATTCCAAAATTTTCGATATGGCTCTTGAGGAGTTGTGGCCTAAACTAGGGTAATTACGTATTTTAACATCCTTTCTTTATGCTAACGGAACTTATAGCTTCTCTATTGAATTGTACTTTTCATACTTTCATTTGTTTATAAGTTGATAGTTTTCAACTAAACATCTTACAGTTTGACACAGATTGGCATGAACCACTTCTTTTCGATGTGCGAAGCTTCTGAACAAGCTAATTATTGGGATTCAGAGCATTCCGAACACTTTTCAACATGTTTTCAGAGATATGGGAATCGATACTTCTCTGTTTGGCCAATGTCTTACTCGTTTTGGTATCCTTGTTAATGAGGAATGTACAAAAATTGATGAAGAAATCAGCACTTTAGTTTCTTCTGCTCTGTCGAAGGTACGATATTGCTGCAG